TTTTTTTTTATTCTGGCAGAGAGTTTCCTGTTAGTAGTTGGGCTAGGTGTCATTTTTTGTGGATAATTTTCCACTGTAAAAGCCACTTCTGAGAAATAGCAACTTCTGAGGGATGAGTAAAAATAATAGGATAAATCAGTGGTCTGTTATTAACAGTTTTTGTTTTATTCTTAATTATATTTAATGTGTAGTAAAAAATAATTTTTATCTTTGGATTATATGTGTATTTACACACACAAACCCTCCTTTTTAAAAATTGACAAATAATTGTATATATTTATGGGGTACATGTGATAGTAGTACATGTATACAATGTGTAATGATGAAATGAGGGTAATTTTCATATCCATCACCTCAAACATTTATCATGTCTTTGTATTAGGAACATTGAAAATTGTCTCATCTAGCTCTTTTGAAATATGTAATAAATTATTATTAACTATATTCATCCTGCTATGTTATAAAACACTAGAATTTATTCCTCCTGTCTAATTTTGTACCCATTGACCAACCTCTCCCTATCCTTCCCCCCCTTACCCTTTTCACTCTCTGATAACCACTATTTTACTCTTTACGTCTATGAGATCATTTTTAGCTCTCACATATGAGTTAGATCATGTGGTATTTGTCTTTTCGTTTCTGGCTTTTTTCACTTAACATAATGTACTCTAGGTTATCCAGGTTGTCACAAATGACAAGATTTTATTCTTTTTAATGGCTGAACAATATTCCATTTTATATATGTAATTGGCCTTCTGTATCTGTGGATTCTGCATTTGTGGATTCAACTCACCATAGATTGAAAATATTCGGTAAAAAGAAAAGGCTGGTTGTGTCTGTACTGAACGTGTACAGACTTTTTTCCTTGTCATTGTTCCCTAACACACTATAATAGCTATTTGCTTAGCATTTACATCGTATTGGGTATTATAAGTAATCTAGAGCCAATTTAAAGTATACAGGAGGATGTGCATAGGTTATATGAAAATACTGCACCATTTCATGTGAGGGACTTGAACATGTATGGATTTTGGTATCTGAGGGGGATCCTGGAACCAGTCCCCCATGCATACTGAGAGACGACTGTGTATCCATTCATCTGTTGATGGACACTTAGATTGATTCCATAATTTGGCTGTTGTGAATAGTGCTTCAGTAAACATGGAAGTGCAGATATCTTTGACATACTGACTTCCTTTCCTCTGGAAATATGAGCAGCAGTGAGATTGCTAGAGCTATATGATATTTCTATTTTTAGTTTTTTGAGGAACTTCTATACTGTTTTACATAATGGCCATTCTAATTTATATTCCCACCAACAGTGTATAAGAGTTTCCCTTTCTCTGCATCCTCACCAGTATTTGTTTTTGTTTTTTTTGTCTTTTTGATTATTGCCATTTTATAATTCCCAATTTATAATAATAACTATAATAATAATATCTCATCGTGGTTTTGATTTGCATTTCCCTGATTATTGGTGATATTGAGCATTTTTTTCATGTGCCCGTTAGCCAATTTTATGTCTTTGAGAAATGTCTATTCAGATCCTTTGGCCATTTTTTAATTGGATTATTTGGGTTTTTGTTTTGCTGTTGAGTTATTTGAGTTTCTTGTATATTCTGGATATTAGTCCCTTGTCAGATGGATAATTTGCACGTGTTTTCTCCTGTTCTGTAGGTTGTTGCTTCACTCTCTTATTTGTTTCCTTTGCTGTGTTGAAGCTTTTTAGTTTGCTATATTTCTATTTGCCTTTCTGTTTTTGTTGCGTGTGCTTTTGAGGTCTTATCCAAAAAAATCTTTGCCCAGACCAATGTCCTGAAATGACAGGCCTTCCCTCTTATGCTGTTGACAGGCACAGTTTCTCTTTTGTTTTGAATTTCTTGCTTATTTGGAATAGGTATTTCTCTAGTTATTTATTGATTTCTATAGACTGTAATAGGAAATTTTATATATCATGAGATTGAAATAGTTTCCTTTATTCAGA